TGGGATGTAAAAGTATTGATGGATTTATATATTTTATATTAACTTGTAAATAACTGTGTATATTAAATGTTGTGATGTCTCCAATTTACTTCATTTTTACTTATCCAAAATCGCACATAGTAGGAAGATAGAAAACCTTCCCTTACAACTGGTGACCTCAGGACGTGATAACTTTAACATTGCGAAGATTTTATTTGGATAAAAAAAAGGTTTGTGCATCACTATTATTTTCTGATTATCTTTATAATTAACATGGAGGAAAGCACAAAGGATAATTTAAATTCATCAACTCAAAATAATGTGAATTTAGAAGTAAACAAAGTGGCAGTTAAACCTCCAATTTTTTGGTGACATAAGTCTAAGTTATGATTCTTACAACTTGAAGCATAGTTTGCTAATGGCAATATTACTCGTGATTTAACTAAGGATAACATTGTCGTTGCCTTATTGAACGAAAATATCTAAGATTTCGTTGCGGATATTTTGTTAAACCGGCCAATGAATGGAAAATACGAAGCGTTAAAAAATGAATTATTAAATAGATTGACAGATACTGAAGAAGATAGGTTAAAAAAGGTATTGACTGAACTTAATCTTGGCGAAAAGCGTCTATCTGACTTGTTGCGACAAATGAAAGTTTTGGCTGAAAATTCCATTTCTGAGGAGTTTTAAAACACTTTGGCTACAGAGGCTACGACAACAGGTTCAAGCTATATTATCTATTAGCTCTGATTCTTTGGATAAAATGGCAGAGATGGCAGACAAGATTATTGGTATATTTAGCTCAACAGAGTTATGTACAGTTGATAAAGTATCCAGCAAAACTTTTGAGCATCATAACATTTGTTCCAGACGCAAGTGCGTGAACGCAGATGCAGTGATTATTTCTTATATTATTTCTTATATTATTTCCTACATTGTTCTTTTGTTGGCGACATATTTTTTGTGTACACTTGTGATAGTAAAAAGAGTTTGTTCTATGAGATACTTGTTTTAGTGTTGATTATAATTAGAAAACATTTACATTTATAAACAACACATTTTGGTGCCGAAACAACTCGGTTTAAAATTAAGTACGAATCCAGCGGCGTACGCAGAATTTTTTCAAGGGGGGTGTTCATAATTNATTAAGTACGAATCAGATGAATAATTTACGCAGTCACTCTTTTAAAAACTAACGAAACTTCAAACATCAGTATTATTCAATGGAGAAACAAAACGAAAAAGAACTTGGCGATACTCTGGCACTTTTGAAAAGAAAAAGAAGAAGAGTTCGAGGTAATGTTACTCGATTTATTACGCAATTAAATTCTTATCTTTCTGCAACCTCTGACACTTTAAATGAAAATGTCGAATATATTAGTCATCAGCTTTCCGATTGCTTGTTAGATTGATTGATTGATTTGTTCATTTACGTCGCACTAGAGCTGCACAATGGGCTATTGGCGACGGTCTGGGAAACATCCCTGAGGATGATCCGAAGACATGTCATCACAATTTTGATCCTCTGCAGAGGGGATGGCACCCCCGCTTCGGTAGCCCGACGACCTGCACGCGAAGTCGAGCACTTTACGGTAGAACAGTTTAACGAGGACCAATACCGCACACCCTCGGTCCCTACGCAGACTGATCCAAGTGGTCACCCACCCGCACACTGATCGCTGATTGCTTGTTAGAAATGAAGAAATTGGATAATGACATTCATAGTTTATTAACAGATGGTGATTATGACAATGATATTATTCAATGTGAAGAATACGTGGAACTTGCCGAGCTCGCTATCTTTAAAGCAAAAAAATTTGGTAGTAGAATTAATTTTGAATATAATACGTTGCAACCGCCAGAAGTAACCGTTTCTCAAATACCTGTTACACAAGTACCCGTTATGCAATTACCCGTTTCTCAATCTCACACATTGAAACTTCCTACTATTAAACTCGATACTTTTCGAGGTGATATTGAACAATGGCAGTGTTTCTGGGAACAATTTAAATCTTCTATTGACGATAATAATAGTTTATCATTAATTGATAAACATGTGTTTTTTGTGAGGATATTTAGAAGATGAACCAAGACGTTTAGTTGACGGAATCAGTGTTAGTGCCAGCACATATGAAACTACAAAAGCTCTTCTTCAAAATCGATTTGGAGACCAAAACAGAATAANAGTTTTATCAGAGTACCTATCCAGTGTTGAATATCTACTCTTTCATCGCAATAGAAAAATAAATTGGAGGATGGGAAGGGGGTGCTGCGTTAACAGTAAGTTAAATCTCATAATTTACAACAGTTGAAAATCAAAATTCAAGTCTGGGTTATACATAACAATAAAATCGCAATTTGATACATAGTAATAGAAACAATTGAAGATAAGAGAAAATTATTTACACTATATACAAGTACTAACTCCACTGTACTCCGTTTCCCCTTTTATATAATTATTCACCGCATCTCCAGAATTCTCGAATTGTCTCAAAGACGACAGAGCGTGTAGGATTCCAGAATCATCGCGTAAAGACCTTGCGAATGACAACAAGTCTCGAAAACTATCGCGAATGGCAAGACAGAAAGGAACCAGTCCGTAACAGTATCACGTGAATTTGGTTTCAAAAGTACAACAATATTGTAGTAAATGTTTTCTCAGTATTCTGAGAAATACCGTGAGGAAAAAAAAAGTAGGAATAAGGCAAATAAAAATACATAGTCTTAAAAAATAGCCCACATAATTTCTACTAAAATTTTCATTTTTTCCATTTTGTCTGAGCTCAAGGGGGGTGTTTAGACCCCTAAACCCCTCCCTTGCGTACGCCACTGTACGAATCAGATGAATAATTTACGCAGTCACTCTTTTAAAAACTAACGAAACTTCAAACATCAGTATTATTCAATGATGGAGAAACAAAACGAAAAAGAACTTGGCGATAGTCTGGCACTTTTGAAAAGAAAAAGAAGAAGAGTTCGAGGTAATGTTACTCGATTTATTACGTCTGCAACCTCTGACACTTTAAATGAAAATGTCGAATATATTAGTCATCGGCTTTCCGATTGCTTGTTAGAAATGAAGAAATTGGATAATGACATTCATAGTTTATTAACAGATGGTGATTATGACAATGATATTATTCTATGTGAAGAATACGTGGAACTTGCCGAGCTCGGAATCTTTAAAGAAAAAAAATTTGGTAGTAGAATTAATTTTGAATATAATACGTTGCAATCGCCAGAAGTAACCGTTTCTCAAATACCTGTTACACAAGTACCCGTTATGCTATTACCCGTTTCTTAATCTCACACAGTGAAACTTCCTACTATTAAACTCGATACTTTTGGAGGTGATATTGAACAATGGCAGTGTTTCTGGGAACAATTTAAATCTTCTATTGACGATAATAATAGTTTATCATTAATTGATAAACATGTGTTTTTGCGAGGATATTTAGAAGATGAACCAAGACGTTTAGTTGACGGAATCAGTGTTAGTGCCAGCACATATGAAACTACAAAAGCTCTTCTTCAAAATCGATATGGAGACAAAAACAGAATAATTCAAGCACATTTAGACTTTCTGGAAAATATTTCGCCAATACGTAATTCCACTCCTATTGTCTTGAAGGAAGTATTTATAGAATGCAACAGAAGACTAAACGCTTTAACGGCTTTAGGGGAGGATATCAACGCTTACTGGCGCATTTTGGCTCCAAAAATTTTACGTGCCTTTCCGGATGATATTTGTCGCCGATGGATTATTTAAGCAAAAAGAGAGAAAATATCAGAAGGTGATATGAATAAACTAGTGCAATATTTATCTGAAGAAGTAGAAGGTGCTCTCACAACACTAAAAATTCGAGGTGAGCAAAACTTTGATTACACATTTAAGACATCTACAGCAGCCTTGCATGTGAATTCTAAAAAGATTAACCAGACTCCATTTTGCCCCTTCTGTGAAATTAACGATCACTGGGCGCAAGATTGCACCATTATAACTGATATTGATACTCGGATCCAAAAATTAAAAAACTCTGGTAGATGCTTCCTGTGTACTAATCGTGGCCATAGTATAAAAAATTGCCTTCGCAAAGATAAAGCGTTCTGCATAAGATGTAAAAAGAAGCACAAGCAACAGTTCAAATCAACCTAGTCACTCTATTTCTACAAATAATATAGATACTCGTACACTTAATTTTACTCACTTACAGACTGCTCGAGTATATATAACTGGCCCAACTGGTATTACTAAGCTTACAAGATGCATTTTAGATTGTGGAAGCCAAACCAGTTTCATTCATTCACATCTTGTAGACAACCTAAAATTAGATGTCATTAGCTCTGATTCACTTGAAATTCATGCATTCGAATCATCATCAAATCAGGCTCAATCGAAACGCAAAGTAAGATTTAAACTATCAAGTATTTGGAATCAGTCAGAAATTTATCTACATGCATTTGAAAGTCCTAATAGATATGCAGTTCATCCATCAGTTCCATTAGAGATTGCTTCTACGGCTCACAAGAAAAAATTTAGACTTGCTGACCCGAATGACACCATGCAAGAGATGCCTATAGAAGTTTTGATTGATGCAGATTTTTACTGGACGGTGATGAATTCTGAGGTTCCTTTCAGACTTTCGGAAACAATTGTGCTCATTCCATCAATCTTTGGCTGGATTTTGTCTGGATCCAGATCTCATACATCTGTCGCTTCTTTATCGTCAGTTAATAATATTAGCATCAAATTACCATATATTGCAGATGATCAAGTTAGGAAATTCTGGGACTTAGATACTTTAGGTATTAGAGCCATGCAAGACAGAGAAATGTCCTTTCGCAATTCTGAAATATTGGAAGACTTTCGCAGTTCTTATGAAGTCCTAGAAAATCGTCGTGTTGTTAGATTACCTTGGAAGAAAGACGTTATTCTTTCTTCAAATAACTAGCATGTCGCATCAAAACGCTTCAATACATTGTGCAAGAAGCTCCAAACAGATCCTAGCTTAAAGGAAATGTATGTTACACTCATGGAAGATTACATAGACAAAAGGCAAGTTGAAATAGCACCGGAAAATCATGATAAGGAAGAAAAAAGCTATTACATACCCCATCATGTAGTCATTAAAGAGAAAAACGCAGAAATTAAGGGACTAATAGTGTTCAACGCCTCTTCTCACACACCAGGCCATCCATCATTAAACGATGTTCTAGAACAAGGTCCCAACTTACTTCCAGAAATTTTAGCCACCTTATTACTACCTCTTCACAAACAAGCAATTATTAGTGATGAAAGTCAGGCTTTTTTACAATTAACCTTGTGGGAAAAAGACAGAAGTGCTACTAAGTTTTTGTGGTTCAAAACTAGAACAAATGGTGATGGACATTTGCAGCTAGAGAATGAAATTGTGGTCTACCAATTTACACGTTTACCCTTTGGATTAACCAGCAGCCCATACCTTCTTTCAGCTACACTTGACAAATTATCCTGCATGTACTCCAACATTTATCCCACAGCAGCTAAACATCTAAACTCTCACAACGAAATCATCCATGAAAATATTATCTAAAAGGTAATATTTTCATGGATGATTTCGTTGTGAGAGTTGATTCAGAAATCGAAGCGAAAACACTATTTCACGAAATGCGAGAACTCACGTGTCTTATAAGCCTTCCTTTAGCAAAATGGAGTACCAACTCACAAGTTTTGAAAAACGAATGGAAGAAAGAAGAAATAAAGTTTGAAACTAAGACTCAAGTCCAGAGGCGTATCTAGAGAAAATGGTGCCTATGGCAATCCTCCCTATTGGCGCCCTTCTTAAAATATTTTTATTATTCTCTATTGTTTAACACATATCTATTATATCTATACACACCAGCATAGATATATATACATATGTATGTGTGTGTGTGTGTAATACAGTACTGAAGCGGGTTTAATTTGTTAGTTACCCAGGATTTGCTCGAAAATGGATATGCGCAAAATGATATTATACTGGATAAGTTCATAATTAATAAAGTTGATATTCAATTATAAAATTTTAATGATTTTAGAAAAATAAACATTTATTTAAGAGGGGGGAAAAAGAGAGAAAGAAACATGAATTGTCATTTTGCGCATATTTTTAGCCACGGAATTGCAAGAAATGCATTTGCACATGGTAGAAATTATATAAATTAACCAAGAAGTTTTTAATAAACTTATTTATAATAACATACAATTAAATCAATGATTNAAAATTCTCTTGCAAGATACATGGCTATGTGGTATTGACTGGGACGAACTTTTACCTCCATCTATCGCATCAAGGTGGTCAAAATGGATCATAGACTTACCACATTTAAGCAACATTCGAATCCCCAGATGGATTGGAATATCTTCTGCTGATGTTAACATTCACGTTTTCTGCGATGTTTCGGAACGAGCTTACGGAACAGTGTTATATGTACGATTCACAGAAGATACTAAATTTCATGTTCGAATGGTTTGCAGTCGTAATAGACTTTCTCCTCTGAAAAGAATAACACTTCCCCGCTTAGAGCTGTTAGCCGCATTATTGGATGCTCGATTACTCCATTATTTTTGTACAGTAACAAAACTGGATAAGAACACAGCGACACTTTGGAGTGACTCAACAGTTGCCTTAAATTGGATACAAGGTAATCCAAATCGTTGGAAAACCTTTGTCTCTAACCGAACGAGCGAAATTCTCAATTACACAAATCCAACACAATGCCGGCATTGCCCTGGCAATGAAAATCCTGCTGACCACTTGTCTCGTGGTGTTGCACCAACAGAGCTTAAATCATTGGATCTTTGGTGGCTGGGACCAACCTGGCTAACACAATCATCAAAGTTTTGGCCTTCAAAACAACTGAATGACGCTAATCCAGATATTTATGCTGAACTACGTAAACCAGCTTCTCAATCTTTATTGATAACTTCTTACCAACCTCTTATTGATATATCGCGCTTCAGTTCATATATGAAACTTCTTAGAGTTACAGCATGGATATTTTGCTTCTCGTATAACTGTCGATCCAAGCAACACATTTCTATTGACCTCGCATGTGATGAGCTTAACACAGCAAAAAACTATTGGATTCTTACAGTGCAAAAGCAATGCTTTTCGGCAGAGCTTAACGCTTTACAAAATAATTCCTCTTTGCCAAAATCTTCAAAAATTAGCCGTTTTAACCCATTTCTTCAAGAAAATCTCATACGATTAGGAGGTAGATTACAGTTTGCACCGCTCAAAAATGAGAAAAAGCACCCTTTGCTTCTTGATGGCTCTCATCTTTTTGTACATCTTTTCATATACTACATACATGTGAAGCTTCATCACTTAGGTGTTCAAATAGTACTTTCAGAGATTCGTTCCAACTTCTGGATAATACGAGGACGTGAAGCCATTAAACGAGTGCTCTATAAATGTCTACCTTGTAAACTCTCACAGACATCTAGAAGTCAACAAATCGAAGCTCCTTTACCAAGGGACAGAATTACATCTTGCCTACCATTTACTACTATTGGCATAGACTTCGCTGGCCCACTTTATGTTCGTAACTTGAAACCTTTAAATACAGCCTATATCGCACTTTTCACTTGCTCAACTACTCGTGCCGTGCACATTGAACTAATTTCTGAACTCACTACTGACAAATTTCTCATGGCCTTAAAAAGATTTGTAGGCAGAAGAGGAGTCCCTCATACAATATACACTGAGAACGCCACTACCTTCCATGCCGCTAATAAAGAGCTATCCATTTTATAGGACAACTTAACATCGTCAAAAGTTCAGCAATATTATGCCCAAACGGGAATTAAGTGGAAATTTATTGTTGCATGAGCGGCTTGGTGGGAAGGATGGTGGGAACGTTTGATCGGTCTAACAAAAAGATGCTTGCGAAAATCCCTTGGTCGAACCTTGTTAGATGAAGAAGGTCTTTCTACAGCATTAGTTGGTGTTGAAGCCACATTAAATAGTCGACCGTTAGTTTATGAACAAGGAAATGATGATCCTGAAGAAACATTAACACCATCCTATTTTCTTACCGGTAATAGACTTACAACCATACCTTCACAGCCTGCAACATCTAGAAGAAATCTGACAAAATTGTACAAGCAACAACAGGATTTATTAGACACATTTTGGAAGAGATGGTCTAAGGACTATTTATTGCAATTACGATCTTTCCACCAAGTACGTAACATTCAAAAATCATCTCGTGTTCGTGTTGGAGATATAGTATTACTTCACGAAGAAGTAAGACCACGACATACGTGGAAGAGAGCATTGGTAACCGGACTAATTAAAGGACGCGATGGAAAAGTCCGCACGTGTACTTTACATTCTGAAGGCAAGGAAATCTCCCGACCTGTTCAACTGATCATTCCTCTTGAGATTGATCAGGGTGGGGAGGATGTTCCAGACGCAAGTGCGTGAATGCAGATGCAGTGATTATTTCTTAAATTATTTCCTACATTATTCTTTTGTTGGCAACATATTTTTTGTGTACACTTGTGATGGTAAAAAGAGTTTGTTCTATGAGATACTTGTTTTAGTGTTGATTATAATTAGAAAACATTTACATTTATAACCAACACAACATTAGTAACGAAAACATTAATTTATTGGAGATTAGTATTGCAGAATTAACTATTCTATAATTAATTTGATACATTCATCACAAGGAGTAGATATCAAGATAAATCTGTAACAGCTCGAGACCGTAGCCGTTCGAGATCCCAATCTTCTCGTTATAAGTTATGTTGGTACCATTTTAAATTTGGAAACAAGGCACATCGCTGTGTTAAACCTTGCCAATTTCAAAAACCAACAAATACTTCGGAAAACTAACGGGCCAGTCGATTGAAGAGGCCAACGACTACGGCCATCCAAATTGCCGCCTCTTTCTTTTTGACAAGTCAAGCAAAAGGCACTATCTTATTGACACTGGGGCTGACGTGTCTGTAATTCCACCGCCAAAACCCAATAAACTGTTCCCATCTGATTTTAAACTTTATGCTGCAAATTCAAGTTCAATCAAAACTTACGGCAAGCAACTTATCAGTTTAGATTTAGGCTTGAGAAGACGTTTCAAATGGAATTTCATCATAGCAGACGTCTCAAAGCCAATAATTGGCGCAGATTTTCTTAAGGCACATGGACTTTTGGTAGACATTAAACAAAAACGTTTGCTTGATCCTTTAACATCATTGACAGTCTCAACTAAAATAATCAAAGGACCATCTTCATTTTTAACACCCCTCGATAGTAATAATCTAGATCCAGATATTCATTCTCTACTGCAAGAATTC